ATTATATGATATTGTATTGATTCGCTGTATTGACTTGGAGTCTCTGAAGCATAATCTCTGAAATATCTTTGAGTTATTTTTGTGTTTATTTTGTGTTTATATTACGTGTGTTATACTGAGAATAATTCATCAATGTTATTGTGAATCCTCACTCGTGATTCCTTAAATAATTGTCTTAGTTTATTTACCCTTTTGAGATTTTATTTGAAGTTACGAAACTAACATAATAACGTATTTCTCATATTATAAATTTTAGTTTTCTACTTTGCTTTATTTTGCATTAAGTTGAAAATGAATATTCTTGTTCAAGTAAAAATATGGTAAATATTATATTAACATGTTAGATTATTAATCCAATTTACGAAAACCTCCTTTTTAATATATTATATTATTATATTATATATTTTCTTTAAAAAATAAATTATTTAAAATTATCCAAATGTAAAAAAATTGAAAACTTAAAGTTCTAAAATAAATAAATTATAGTTAAAATAATTTTAAACAAATAGTATTACATTTTAATTTATTGAATTAATCTATTTTGATATAAATATTCTTAGTTAAAGTTATATGAATTATAATTTCAGATATATCAGATAATATCAGAAGACTAAAATATTTTAAAAAAATATCAGATTTTTGCCTAAATTATGAAATTTAGGAATTAATTTCAGATCAGCTCTCAAAATCAGAAATATTTAGAATTTGAAAATAAGATTTTACCTATATCTTTACTCTTAGTAATATATTTATTTTTAATAGAAGATCTATTAGCGTTTGGCTTTTGACTTCTGATTATAATTTATTTTATGAATTTATTTATCAGGTTGCTAAACATTGAAGTTGAAAAGAATCAAACTCATTACCTGTTTATACTTCAAAAAAAACATATTTTAGCTAAAATTAAACTATTTCTATTACTTTTAAATTAATGAAAGTAGTGACATTAGTTTCAGAATGTAATATAAGTTATTCATTATAGATTTTATGTGTACAATTAAGAAATAGAGATGCTTTACCTTTTTCATTTTATATAAATCTTATAATATGTAAATTAAAGATATTAGACAAAAGATTATAAATGTAAACAATGACTTATTTATTATTGAAAATTTAAGAAATTTAGCTGATTTAAAGTTAAAAAAGATCTAATAACAAAAATAATTGTAAAGATTTTATGAAAAAATTAGATTATGATAATTTAGTAAATAGAATTAAAATTGAAATAAGATTCTTTTTATATATAAAACTCAGTAATATAAAGGATGAAATGATAGTCTATATAGTTTAAATCTACATATTTTATTATTATCATATTCTTTATCTATACTTATTCAATATAACCCTTCTAAGCTTTATTGCTGTTTTTAAAAATGTATATAATTTGACATGTCAATTATTTCTATAAATTAAACATACTAAACACACTAAATACAATTAAATATAATTAAATACAATGTGAATACTAATACGAAATTTATGAAATTTTGATATGAATATATACTACTTTGTTTGTTTCACTTTTGTTTTACTATATCTAATAATAATATTAAGTTTAAAGTTTAGAATATATATTTAAGCTTATATTACTCTTGCTAAAAGTGTCTTAATTGTATTAAAGATTGCAGCAATAGAAGTTGTAAATGTAAGAAAGAAATAAAACACCTGTTGTTAAAAAAGAACAAAAAACACTATTCTCGTACTTTCTAACCTAAAAATTCAGAAAAAATACCTTATAATTATTAGTAACTAAAAGAATTAACATGTAATAATGAATATTTTAAATATAATATAAATTTTTCTAATGAGTTTAATTTTTCTTTATGTCTTAAATGTCATAATAAATTTAATCATTTAGGTAGAAAGAAGAAAGTTAAAATCTAAGAAGAACTAATTGAAACTATAGAGATAATTCATTCGTCACTTAAAACACAAATTGCAAATAATATTTTAAATGAAGCATCAAATGTAGATAGTACTGCTTTATCCCAATTACCAATTTTAATTGTAGATATACCAAATATAGATATCACTTAGAGTGTTAAATATAGATGCATTTTCACTCTAATCAACAGTTGCAGATATAGATATATTACAAATTTTTTCTATTAAAAGAACATCTTCTGAATCAATATTACAGGATGAAAGATAGTTGCAGTTTTTTCAACAAATGAATTAAAATTTAAACTGATTCTTAAATTTTCAGATGGAAAATATTATCCAGCTAAATGGAAATATATTATGGTAGAAAATTTTTATAGTTTTAAAAATAACTTAGAAAATTTAGTGCAGTTACAATTTAAGTAGCAAATTATTTTTCAAGATGATTATATTGTATTATACAAATATAAAAAAAAAATAGTTCAAGAATATAACTAACAAATATAAGAGATTAAATAGAATTTTTAAAGGAATATGATTATATATTTCTAGTATAAAATGATAATAATTATTATTATAATGAAAAAAAAATTCTAATAAAAGGACTCAATTAAAGTAAGTAATTTATAATAATTTTCAAAAAATTTTATATTAATTAATTTATCTATTTATTTATCTATTTAAGTGATATTAACTATCAGATAAGCTATGATATGAAAGAGGTTAATGATAACAAAAAAAAAATAAAAAGGCTTATAATGATAAAAGAAAAAAGACTTTAAACCAAATTTTAAAAGAAAAAAATATCAATAAAATTGATGCAGAAATTGCAAATATTGTTATTGAATTACATGCTAAATGGTATTATAATGAATATCAAAGAAGTTGCTATATTGATTTAACTAGACATAGTACTCTTATAACAAATAATTTATCTACATAGGCTAGATTAATTATAAATCATAATTATATAATATTTATGTTTATAATCATGATCGCATAATATCTATAATGATTAATGCTCCGAACGGTTCGGTTCGGTCCGGATTATAGGCCAATCCAAAACTGATCTGAAAATTTTGGTTCAGTTCGGTTCGGATTATAAATCCTAAAAATGCCAATCTGAAACTGAACTGAACCGTAAACCGGTAAAAATCTGAACCGAACCGAAAATTTCGGATTAATCCGAAATTTCGGATCGTTTGGAACGATCCTTTTATCGTTCTTTTGGAACGATAACTTCAATCGTTCCAAACGAATGATTCTTTTATTGTTCGTTTGGAACGATAATTTAATCGTTCCAAATGAACGATTTTTTTATCATTCGATTGGAACGATAATTTAATCATTCCAATCGAACGATTTTTTTATCATTTGTTTGGAACGATAACTTCAATCGTTTCAAATGAACGATTCTTTTATCGTTCGTTTGGAATGATAACTTCAATCATTCCAATCGAACGATTTTTTTATCGTTCGTTTGGAACGATAACTTCAATCATTCAAAATGAATGATTCTTTTATCGTTCGTTTGGAACGATAATTTGATCGTTTCTATTGAACGATTTTCTTATCGTTCGTTTAGAACGATAATTTAATCGTTCCAAACGAACAATTCTTTTATCGTTCTTTTGGAACGATAATTTGATTATTCCAATCGAACGATTTTCTTATCATTCGTTTGAAACGATAATTTAATCGTTCCAAATGAACGATTTTCTTATCGTTCGTTTGGAACGATAATTTGA